AGATTTTCAAATAGTTGTATCTCAGCCAAATATTGTCCTATCCTAACAAACCATACATCAATGGAAAGATGATGTATACATCTCAATTTCGAAAAAAATTGACCCTTATGACTGGTTTTGTGCTCCAGGGTCACATATAGCTTAAAGTAAAAAGAAGTTCAAATATTCCCTCGCCTTGCTCATCTTCACAGTGGACATTCCTCTGAACCCACCACACTCCATATACATATATATATATATATATATATATATATAATATCTTTAAATGTAACATTAACATGACCTTAATTTGAACGTAGCCTTTGCAAAAAATGTAAAACAAAACAGAAATAAATAAATGACTAGTCTTTCCGGTGTGGACTAGCAGGCGCAGTGTTGTTTAGTTGAGTAGTCTGGCCCACACCTAACAACCACTATAGTTAACTCTGTCTGTGTTTGATCTGGTTGTGTCTCCCGTCACACTGAAGCTGAATCTGGAGCCAGCAGGAAAGAGAACACCTGCTCTGTTGCACTCACCTTCTTTCTGGAGCCGCTCTCCTGGGGAAGCTCCTTGTCCTTCTTGCGTCTGGCTCCGTCTTCCAGAGACAGGCTCTTCTTCTTACTGGGAGGCGGCTCATCCGTCAGCTTCCAGCGACTCACCTCCCCATTGTCCATGCGCCTCTTCCCCAAACCATCTCCTTGATCCTGAACATCAGACCTGCATTAGTGTGATGTTTATTACAGTGAAGGCCACACACAGGACTGCTTCCAGAGCGGAGTCAGGGTCAGGGAGGGCGTTTCTAAAGCTGTGGTGAGTACAGGCAGTGACATCATCACGCACACGCAGAGCTTACACCTCAAACCTTAGCATCGAGTCCACACGCTCCTGGTTTAGATGGCTAGAATTACTATTAATACAAATATGTCTCAAGTGGTGAATCAATCATTGTGAGAGGTGAAAGTGCACTGGCTGCTGTGTGAACCGAGCATCTGTGCCTTCACTGCGTGACTCTGACACAGAATCTCTACTTCTGAACGATACTGAAAGTCTAGCCGTGTCAGCTGTGATATACGGCGCTCTCGTGCCTACAGCATCTACAGTTCAGACCTCGACAGAAGCTCTTCTCCTGATGACACTGCTTCCGGTCTCTCTCCTTCACTCTACTTATACACCACATGTTACGTGTGCTTTTCCATGTGTTCCCTTTACAGTTAAGTAAAGATGCAACCAGCTGGAAACTGTACCGCTATGCTGTACTTCCATACATTAATAAAGGCACTTCTGCTGGAAACATGGCATCCCATGCAAAACATGACTGACTGCATTGTGCTTTCCTACACATTCTTACTGATGCGTAAAACTTTTGATTAAAACTCTAATTTAGAACAAGAAAACATTATCTCGGTCACAAAACTGAATTTGCAGCAATAAAGTGGAATCCAAAGCAGAAAACCAAACGTTTAAACAAGGATGCAGCCAGTCAATGAATGGAGGACTTTCAAACACAGACACTATGTTAAGATTAAGAACTAGTTTGAGCAACTAGCAGTTAGACAAGAGGTTATCAGTCTTACTTTTCAGACTCGCTACCGTTTTGTAACTGACTTTATAAAGTTATGAGCAGTCTTGAAGAAAACAAATGAGATGACTAACTGTTCTGGCCCACTCTGAACGGGGCAGTGTAGTATCTGTGTGCAGTCTTACCTTACTGGTCTTTCCCTCCTTGTGGCACTTTGGACATTCCCAGCAGTTTGGGATCTCATCATTAATAATGCCTTCAGACTTGCCCATCTGAGGAGAGAGCTCAGCGTGTTATCAGCAGCCGTTAAGAGTTCAGACGCGCTCGCTTTGATCAGTTTTAACTCACAAACCTTGAGGCAGCTGGGGTGGATGATCTCGTTGCAGATGGTGCACTCCATGAGCGAGAGGCTGAACTTCTCCTCCTCCGACTCCACCGTGTCCTCCTTCCCCGCTTCTCCGCAAGCGAAACACACGGCTGTGTGCGGCAACACCGGCTGAGGAGAGCAGCAGAGTCAGTGAAGCCAGCGCGAGGCGCTCTGATCCTAACCGTTACGATGCACTGATCACAGCTGGAGCACAAAACTACTGCGTCCCCCACCATCAGCCGCATTCAGAGGCGCTACAATCACCCAGGTCCACGCTTCACAGTGTAAATACTCACGTGCTCGAATGCTTTCAAACCACAGCAAATACAAACACAAATCTACATACTGAAGGGAAAATGTCTGAAATCTCTGAAAGTGTGCAGTGGATGTTAAGATGTCTTCTGCTTGAGTATGAGCATGTGACACAGGTTTGCTTGACTTACTGCAGTGCACTGCCGCAGCAGACAGGACTGCTTCATCCGGCCCGGTCCACCGAACTTCTTCATGTCCTTGCAGAAGTGGCACTCACCGCACTCGGTCCGCAGACACGCCTGACAGCGCCGGCACCGTGTCCGCCGCCGCCGCGCCCCCCCCAGCACCTTACTGCCAGACATCCCCTCTGCATTCAACTGCAGAACAAGCACAAAACACAAAACACAAGGTGTTCAACTCAGTCCCACACGTCTGCAGAACATGCTCGGCTCTTTTTATCGTCTACAATATCTGACTGACTGGAGTTGCTCTTTTATAAACACAAAAAGTTAACTACACACTACTAAACAAATGAATGCATACATACATACATATATATATATATATGTATGTATATGTATATACATTTAGGGCTGTCATATTGATTAATTGCATCGAAAATAAAAGTTTGTGTTTACATAATATACGTGTGTCCTGTGTATGTTTATACACATACATACATACATACATACATGTATATAATTAAGATATATATATAGTGAGTGTGAGAGCGAGTGTGTGTGTGTGTGCCCCTCTGCATTCAACTGCAGAACAAGCACAAAACACAAAACACAAGGTGTTCAACTCAGTCCCACACGTCTGCAGAACATGCTCGGCTCTTTTTATCGTCTACAATATCTGACTGACTGGAGTTGCTCTTTTATAAACACAAAAAGTTAACTACACACTACTAAACAAATGAATGCATACATACATACATATATATATATATATGTATGTATATGT